GATCACGCGTCTCCAGTGAAGCAGAACTCTCCTCCTGTCAGCATTCGCATTTGCACGGGCCGACCATCACGCAGAGAACACGCGATCATGCAGGATACAAATGCACACTTCATAAGATCTCAACTAGATTCGACTAAGTCTGCAAGGTTTGTGAAATTAAATGTTCATTAGTCCATTAGTTCATTAGTATACATTTTAATTCCTTTGTTTAACAGTTCTATCTGATTATTAGATAGACCTATCCATATTAGACAGAACTGTTAACGACGACAGCGAACAAGAGGGAGAATGTGAGCACTATGTGCTCAGGCACTGCCGTTCTCAGCACCGTCAAAATAAAAGTCCGCCGCGCCGTCAAAATAAGTCCGCCTCGAACACATCGGCAAAACAGAAAAACTTATCGGCCAATGCCGATATTTGAAAAATGCTGATATATCAGCCTTGGCGATATATCGGTCGACCACTAGCGGTAAGGCTGTGTTTTATTGGTAATAGTCAGTAAAGTTGCTAGCCTGGCCTCAGGTGCCTGATTTTAGAAAACGGTTGCTGTCTTATAAAAAATAACGACACATTATTGATTAAAATATTATTTTATCAGCCAATTTCATGAAGTCCTCTCATTGTGAAGATTTAAACAGTAGCAATGTTATGCTATGGGTTTTGTGCAGTGATATAGTGAATGTTTCAAGTCTAACTTCATATTTTAGCACTCTTGGAATGCTCTATTGACCAATCAGAAGCCAAAACAGAAACCATCCATTTTATAATAAGATTTTAGCTACATTCAGTGAAACAGGAGACTGTTTATATTGTTCATGCTTATTGTGAACACTGCTAGACTGTTCATTATTGTCAGTATAGAAGCTGGCAGACTATAGTGTGGATTAGGGATCTGAAACAAGAAGTTGTTTGAGAAGCGACCTCATTTAGTGGACTCAATAAGAAACAGCAGTATAAATCTCATCATATTGCATTTGTTTCTCCTCTTTTTGCTGTGCAGGGATTTTAAAACTAATATGGTAGTCTGCCAAAAATCTACTTACTGGAAAAGACAGGCAAGGGTACTTCACATCTCTGCTCTTTAATCACAAGCATTGTGCATTTGCATTTTCTTTAGTCTGCAGTTCAGATGCTGTATATCAGACATAAGTATGTGTGTCATAGCCCATTTTCATAAATGTCACTGTTGAAGTTTGAAGTCATTTTGTAAATGACGGAGAACACAATCTGCTATTCAAATAAAATAAAAGCTCTTATATATACTATAGTATTTTTAATGGTCATAGTTGGTAGCATCGCACATTCTTTTGTAGATACACCACCACAGGTTCAAGTGAGCTTCAAGACTTTTTATCAGACTTTATAGTGGGACTGACAGGAGATTATAGGGAAAAGAGGGGAATAATGGAACTGGGACACATCGCAGGCCAGATTCAAACCTGTGTAACCCATATGAGCAAGTGAACATGCCTGGAGCATATGCTCTAGCTGACACACCAAATGTGATGTGTAATGTGCATTTAAACAGTCTAAATGGTTACTAAATATGTTTTATGTTTCCACACAGCTTCCCACTGACATTGTCACTGGAGATGACAGTGAATGTTGACTATGTTTTTATAAAGCAGCTATGGTATATTATTGTATAAATAGTACAGTCATGGTTTTGTTAGGGAGGTAATGCAGGGATTGAAGTCTTCTGATTTATTTTTGTGCGTGACACATTTTCTCCTGTTTTCTTTGTGCTTGATTTTTCGCGTATCTCTCTTTCCCACTGGTTTGGGAAGCTGTGCGGTTGACACTGGTCAGCACACTTGCTGGGTGTATATGCATGTGTACTACTCTACCACGCACCATAACATAGCAGCCATTCGATAGCAGTTGTCTCACTTTCACCTGATATGGGGATAGTGTGTATCTCACATGCTGCGTCCCAGAAAAGATAAAATGATTTGACCTCAGGAGCTTTGTGCTCCCCGCACCCCTCTCCTGTGCTCTACGCTCCACTGAGCCGGGGCTACTGCAGGGGCTTCCCATTATTCAGAGTGTCCACTGTAATTGTTAGCCTGTGTTTTTCACAGACATATACACACGTTTCCTTTGTAAAGTAAAAACATATACTACCGTTTAAAAGTTAGGAGTCTGTAATAATAATAAATGTTTCTTGAGCAACCAATCAGCATATCATTTCTGAAGGATCATGTGACACTGAAGACTGTAGTAATGATGCTGAAAATTCAGCTTTGCATCACAGGAATAAATTACTTTGTAAAATATATTTAAATGGAAAACATTTATTTTCATTTGTAATACTATTTCACATAATGATCTTTTATTACTGATTTTTAATCAAATAAATTTAGCCTTGGTGAGCATAAGAGACTTCTTTTAAAAACATTTTTAAAATCCTGCTGACCCCATACTTTTGAACGGTCGTGTACATGTACATAACATTTAAAAATGGAACAATATTGATACTGTTTGTATTCAGAAACTACTGTGACTAAATACTTTTGACATGTTTTTAAGGTTTATGGCTAAAGTATACTTATTGTCCCAGGGGAAATTTTTCTTGGGCTCAAAAAGCAGCCACTGCATCACCAATCATAACAACACACAACATTTAAAACCATATATAAACATAATAAACATAAACAAAACTTTGTCTCAGACTCACAACTATTATGCAAATGCATAAATTATTTACTTAAAAGAAAAAAAAAAGGCGTTGCAATTTTATTTATACTTATAAGTAACATTAATTTGACCACCTAATATGTATCTACAAATGTGTTAAATTAAATTAAATTAAATTTATGCATTTAGCAGACGCTTTTATCCAAAGCGACTTACAGTGCATTCAGGCTATACATTTTTTACCAGTATGTGTGTTCCCTGGGAATTGAACCCATGACCTCTGTGCTGCTAACGCAACGCTCTACCACTGTGCCACAGGAACAGTTAACAGTGTTAATGAGTATCTGCAGTGTATTGCATGTAGTCTGTCATGCTGAAATCAATACAAGGAGGGGGTAAAAAAGACATCATGGTTGTCCTGAGTTTAGATTCCCACCACTTGTATTTTCTTTTTTTTCCACTTTATCTTGTTTTATTTACACACACCCAGTACTCATTGTCTCTTGTTCAGTGATGACAGATGAATATCAATGATTTATTCTGTCCTTCTAAGTGTCTTTCAGAAGTTATTCTCGCTTGATTAAATTCATTCATTTTTCTGAGAGCTCAGACTGGAGCTGCATCTCTAACCCTAGTGAGCTGCTGTGTTCCCTAGACTGCTTCACAGGCATGTTTGAGCGTTCAAATGCACCCACGATGCTCATAAACAGTGCTTAGATTGACAGCCCACTAGGTTTGGAAACACAGTCTGATTTGGTGAGATCACTTACAGTTTTATAACATTTCCTGTTTATTATGTCTCATCCGCACATGTAGCATGGGTGGAAATGAGTTGTGCTCATTGTTGAGTAGCTCCTGGATTAAACTGTTCTCTGTAAATTGTACTGTTCTCAGTGGACCTTCACTAATGATATCCTTTCCCCTTTCTCACTTTTCTTTCTCTCTCCCCCTCCAGGTGGTGTTGGTCTTTGCACTCAGCATCGGAGCTCTGGGAATATACTTCATAGATTCTTCGGAGTGAGTACTATTCTGATTCAACAACTCTGGCCTGAATTATTTATTCTCACATGAGTCAAAGGCCTTAAACACAGATCTTAGAAACAAGTGATTTCCTTTGCCTCATTTCACTATAAAGATACTTTCTATGAATGGCACAAAATAGGGATAACTATAATAGGGATATAATAGGGATAATAGGGTCAAAATTTAGAAAATGACAAGAAATCTTTTATTTTGTACTTATTTATGTGAAGTTTGAAAATTATTCTTATAACTGAAATTTGCTACTTTTAAGACAATTAAAAATCCATTTTGAGATTGTTTCTTTCTAGCAGTAAAGATTTAACGAACATAAAAATTTAAAATAATATTTCAAAATTTTTTTTTTGCAACATTCTGCAACAGGGTGGCAGATTTAGCTTTAGCTGTAATAAATTAAGACATTACTCAGTAGGAGCTTGTTAAATTGGGAATAAACTTAAATTTCCCAAACATTAAAGAAATTGTTTGATTTTGTTGATTGATTTGAATTATTACAATAATTTTGATATCCAGGTTGAAGGTTAAGCTTGAAGAATGCATTAAATACTAAAATTTGTCTTGAAATTGATAAACAATTAGGTCAGATTTCTGTACAGTGCATAAACCTCCAATAGTTTATCATTAGGAGTACAAGGCACAGATGGTAGCAGGGCAGTCTACAGTGTTAAGGTACTATTTTCCCATATAGATAATAATACCATATTAATGAACCCTACGTTCATTGTTACTGTTAAGGGTACCATTATATAATTCAAGGTTTTGTTCTGTAATGTTGGACTTTAAAGACTAAGCCTTGGTGTGACGGGATTATTTTGTCAATGAAAGCCAAGCAGGCTAGTTTCCATGGTTACATTAGCAGAGCATCTCTGCCGCCCACCCCTCTCCCCTGTGCTCCCTAGAGAAAGGTGTGCAGTTAGCTGTTGCCCAGGCAACCAGGTATCACAGTTTTCGAGATGAACTTTACTCAATGTGATGGCCAGTCTGTGTATACTTTTACATCACTGATTGTATAATAAGCGAAACTCAATCACTATGAATATAGCAGTGAGTTTGTCTGAGGTACAGATTGCTGTGTTGGCATTGCGCAGCATATAAAAAGCCAACACGTGCAGTTTAAATCTAAGCGCTCAAATGAGCATGTGTACGGTCTCGTATAAAGTCTTACATACAGTCTGTGCGTGTGCATGCTGGAGCGAAGCCAGGCATGATGGGAGATTTTAATCCCTATAATGCTGGGATCAGGATGGTAAAGGAAGCGGCGGGAGGGGTGATTTGCCGTGTTCATGCATCATTCAGAAAAAAAAACCCTGATCTGGCTCCTCATTTACAATACATGTTTTCATATTACAGCTTAGAGTCAGCGGCTTCCTCATTTGAGTGCATATGTGAGACAGACGATAAACAGATTTAGATGAGGTCAGTTCAGTTTTTCCCGCAGGATGCTGTTTTTACTTTAATTCCATAGATTTTTGCAAACCCTCAGAATTTTGCTGGGCTTTATTGTTTGCTACGTAATAAATAGTACTCAAATTATTTAATATTGTATTTAAAATTTAATTTATTACAACTTTGTTGGAAGTTTCACAATACTTACAAAACTGTTGCTGAAATTATTGGTAATAAGAGAATTTATTTCATAGATTGATAGGTTCATCTGTAGTAGTAACAAACCTCTTCAACAGCAGAATATTACTTTTTTTAGCAACAAGAAAACAAATTCTTAGAAAAATTAGAATGATAGCATGGGTTTTACCATAAATAAATCATCTAATAATAATATTGCAGCCAAAATACTAGGATCTTCACATTACAGAGACAAGGTCATTGGTGTGTGAACACAGCTTAAAAGGTTATCCCACTTTGATTGATATTAATTTGCTAGTCGGTTCAACCGACTCATTTGTTACGTTCAAATGAGTCAACTGACTCCGTCGGAGCTGTTCTTTCACAGGTTGAGCTGCATATTTGTTGTAGTCAGAGAAAGTCATACAAAGTGCAGTGTTTCCCACAGACTTAGACTCTGTTTGTGGCGGCATATATGCAAATTCATTCTCTGCCAGCAGGAGGCACTTTTAGAGTGGAAGAGATTGCGGTTTCCCCGGTAACGGCTGTACACAAAGAAGCATTGAGCTCACAAACTCTGCTTTATCAGGCATTACAGGCAAGATGAAATGAAAATGATATCCAAAATTTTCTGAAGACAGTCGGTTTCCTTCAGAAATACAGTGATATAAAAACATCCGCACCGGGTTTCGATTTTGAAACGTGCAGTGCTCATGTTTATTCAACGAATTAAAAGCTTTTTGGAAAATCTATTTGTGGCGGTCAGTTTTGATATTGTGGAGTGCCGCCACAAATAAATCAATGTATGGGAAACACTGAAAGTATGTTGAGTTAATGATATATGAAATAGTTAAACAGCAACAAAGTGTGTGTCATCTAAACTAACGGTTATCAACCTTTTTGACTCAAAGCTCCTTTTTATCTGACACCATTTTTAAAGGGTCCTTCATATTTCTTCCAGAATTACTGCTATAATATGACAAAGAAGTTTGTTTATTTTTAATATAAACAAACTAGGAAACAAATGGTGGACAATTAAAAATAGGATAACAATATGAAAATGAATTGAATTAAAGGATTAGTTCACTTCCAGAATGAAAATTTCCTGATAATTTACTCACCCCCATGTCATCCAAGATGTTCATGTCTTTCTTTCTTCAGTTGCAAAGAAATTAAGGTTTTTGAGGAAAATTTTCCAAGAAGGTCCAAATTGCCGTTTCAGTGCAGCTTTAAAGGGCCCTACACGATCCCAACCGAGCAATAAGGTTCTTATTAGGGGTGTGAACCTACACTGGTCTCACGGTTCGGTTCGGTTCGGAATACAAGCAGTCAGATATATGAACTGTACCTGACCTGGTTTCTTAAGTTAGTGGTATTACCCCCCGCTAGTGATGTGACATTTGAACCGAGGCATCGGAGCTTGTGTCGAGAATAAATGGTCGTGCTAGATGAAGCCTTGATTCGAAGCTTGTGTTGTGTTGTTAATTGTCATAGAAATCACGTGACCAATGACAAATGAAGCTTCACTTTCTGTCCAGTCACGAGCGTGATTCACTTTGCTTGTCGAAATGTTCGATCCCCAGATCTTACTTTACGAATAAGTTTTAATTCTGACTTATTCAGTTACATTTTAGATACCCAGTCATATAAGTAATATGAAGAATACAAATTATTTCAGAAAAATTCAATATTTGTCATATGCAATTCATTTGAGTACATTATTCTTCTATTACTACATATTGATTTTCGTACTGGTATTAAATTGCACAGTTTAATGGGTAAATTAATTTATCAGAAACTCAACAAACACAAACACACACACTGTTAGGCTTTTATTTGTGCGTGTAACTTGAATCAATCTGTGGAATATGTGGTAGATGCCTCGTCCTACGGAGCGTCTTTCACAGGCTTTTGGCTGCTATATTTTTTATGAACCACCATAACATAACACCATAACATTTTTATGTTTTCTAGACGCTCAAAGCTTTGAATCTTTTCCCGAAACAGTCAGAGGAAAAGCCTCAGTGCTTCACGAGGCTTCATTTGCCCATCCCTACCCCCTACATATTTCATTGTGCGTGACATGATTTACACACAGCGTGTGTCTTCTCCAGGTCGTGCTCAGGTTGTTCATAAAAGCCGAAAAGTGGCCAGATGTCAGCTTTTAAAGTAGTTGGAGCATTTTTAATTAATCGCACTCGCGTCTCGCCTCCCTCCGCCATTAGGCACGTTCGATTTGAAGCAGCGCTGCGCAGGATGAGTGTATGACATCAACTGCGAAAGCATAAGGATCCGTCTGCTCTCTTATCGCTCTCGCGGTACTTGGTCATACACTGATCATTCTGTGCAGCGGCGCTTGAAGCCGAACGTGCCTAATGTATGCTACTGCGACAAAGCACGTATGCGACAAATGACGTCAGAAAAGCGTCAGTATATTATAATCGGTTATGGTCTATTACTGAACCGATACCGAATCGTCCTCGTCTGCATTTCGATGCATCGAAGAAACTATTAATTTTGACACCCCTAGTTCTTGTCTAGCGAAACGATCTGCCATTTTCTAAAAAATAAAAAATAAATAAATTATATACTTTTTTTTAACCACAAATTCTTGTCTAGCACTAGCTCTGCAATGTGCATCCATGACTTCAAACATTACGTAATCATGTTGGAAAAGTCACTCGTGGTTAGTTCTTCGTCCGTGTGCTTCGTTCTAAAAGGTAGGGTAGGGAGAAAAACTCTAATTTTCTCCTCCAACTTCAAAATCGTCCGACATCGTTGTTTTACCTTTTATGTAAAGGGCCTTTGACTTTCTTTGCACATTCGCTTTGTAAACACTGGGTCGCTACTTCCGCCTACGTCACGTGTACATGATTACGTAATGTGTGAGGTTGAGCTAGAGCATGTTTTGTTAAAAACTATATAAATTTGTATTTTTATTAGAAAATGACCGGTCGTTTCTCTAGATAAGCTGAGGAATCTAGATATTCCTCAGCTGGGATTGTGTAGAGCCCTTTAAAGCTGCGTTGAAACTGCAATTTGAACCCATTGGCCACCATTGAAGTCCACTATATGGAGTAAAATCCTGGAATGTTTTCCTCAAAAACATTAATTTCTTTTAAACTGAAGAAAGAAAGAAAGACATGAACATGCTGGATGGCATGAAGGTAAGTAAATTATCAGAACATTTTCAATCTAAAATTTTCGTTCATTTCATACTGGACTCCTTTAATAATATATTTGTATATTTTTAAATCATTAGTTGAGGACCACTGCTCTATACTGTTTGGGTGAATCAGTGGCTCTTCCGCAAACTGACTGACAGCCTAGTCTAAGCTGTCCTGTCACATCTATTGTCTGAGGTCTCAATCAGGGGATTTTTGCACACAAGCGATGTCCTGAATTCACTAGCA